ATAATAGAAAAACGTTATTCATCAAATAGGCACAATATATTTACATGAATAGAAAGTAGGTACCTCCATATTTTTCGCTAAGATTTTCGATACCTAAGGTTTTAAATTAATTTTAAAAAATGAAAACACATTCTTGAAGACTTCTTTTTAGATTTACTTGAAAGATAAAGGATTAAATTGACTATTTCCAGTAGGTAAAATATTCTGGTGTATAATAAAAATGATATAGATTGTAATACTAAATATTTGCTCGATTTCAAAAAAATCTGTTGACTGGCAGCCATTTCTTATATTTTAACATGTTTTAAAATAAATCTAATTATCGGTTTAAAAATCTTCCAGAAATAAAATATATATTTGTGAGACGTTATTTGAATAAAATTAGCAAATTTAAAGTTAAATTAATCTGATTTGCAACAAATATTACTTACTTATAGCATAAAAAAATAATATACAAGCATTTCTTAACGACGTGTCCTGTTTTTCTTATGTCTTATTGACGTTATCGATCAGCTCCGAGGTGTTGACAGCTAGTACGGGTGACCAAAATTGACATAAATTTACAAAGTTAAAGTGAACGCATATATATTTTTTTTTTGTGGTTTTAACTAACAGATAATTTTAAAAAATTAACATATTTATAGCTAATATTAATATATTTTATTATTTATTTATATATATATATATATTTTTAGCTAATATCTAATATTTCATTGAGTTTTATTTACGTATGAAGATACTGTCTGAAAAAAAAATGATAACATATTCTTAGATTAATTTAAAAATTTAGTAACTCAGATGAAATACCATGATAGAGATAACTCAATCATTTATAAAATGTTTGGGTATTTTATTTATTAATAATTTATATATGTTTTGTTTTTGTTTTTTTGTTTTTGTTTTTTACTTTTGAAGTTGAGACGTAAACATGCAATGAATAAAGAATTGCGGACAAGCGAATTTCTCTGAAAATGGAGGGCAATTCTTACAACATATTACCTTTTCATAATAATGCCACGTTTAGGCTACCATAGGTGAAAAATGGGAATGATTAAAGTAAAAAAAAAAAAATCATTTTAAAAATATAATAGTAAAACGACGTATATTAAACTTTTCAGTTTTGGATTCATACATTTCGTTTCCACTTAATTGCAATATCGCATAAAATAAAGAAAGTAATGCAGAATTTTAAACGATTTTTAAATTATTATTATTATTATTATTATTATTATTAAAAATGAAAAAATTCTTGTAAAAATTCATTATTAATCATTTTTCTTAAGACAATCGTGTCCTTAATATAACTCATTTACAAAAACAATTAAAAACTTTTCTAACTAAATAATGTCATAGCCTGATTACATTTTTTAGTTTACCATTTAGAGCAGATTTTCAGTACAAATAGTAACAGTTTGAAAATGAAACTGAATTATTTACATTCTCCAAAAAGCTCTACTTTTAACATTATAAAATATTCTGGAAGAAATATCTAATTTCACGAAATTTCATGAAATTCAGTAAGTGGGGGTAGCATATATGAAAAAAATAGTTTTTTTACTAAGGTTATCTAAACCAAAAAATTTCAAAAATAATTTAATTCACTTGTGAATATGTCCTGAAAGTTTCATTAAAATCCGACAATTATTTAATTTTTGAAAGAATTTCCAAATCAATGTGTTTTTCACCGGAAAAACGTTTCGCGCTGACGTAAAAAGAACAAGATTTTTAACCAAAATTCCGAATGTGCTAGAAAGGTATAAAAAAAATTTAAATAATAAAAGAATACTTTGGTCTTTCCTCTTAATAATAAGATAAACATTTTGATAATAAAACTTTGACTTTATTAAGTTTGTGGCCTTTTTTCATCATGGAACTAATACAAAGATATTACATTAGCTTAGCTCATAATTACAGGACTAAAAGAGCAATAATAATAATAATAATAATAATAATAATATATATATATATATATATATATATATATATATACTTTCAAGAGGTACTTTTAATCTCATCCAAGTTCATCTTTAGAGGTGATCTGCTAAGACAAAAAATGAATATAAATTACAATTGTGATTTTTTTTGCAAATGAGATTGGAAGTATTTGGGAAAATAAAAGAAATAAAAATAACTACGGTATCTTCCTTAATCAGTTTAATAACTACATTAGGAAACTGATCCGTGAATTTGCGAGGATTAATATTAAAATAAGTAACCATAATATTTCCAGATTATTCAACCAAAAATGCTCCGAGATATATATATATATATATGTGTGTGTGTGTGTGTGTGTGTGTGTGTGTGTGTATACATGCAATTTTATATATATATATATTATTTATATATTATATATGCGCGCTATATAGCGGAAAGCGGTCAATATCAGTGATAGAGCTAACATATTTAGATGGAGTGATGTGAGTTTGTGACCCTGGGTTTCATGCTATTTGCGATCGTCAGGCAAACTGATTAATTTTTTAATTTTGGATTTATGTATGGTTGCGTATATCGATGTTTTTATGGAAGTCATCGGAAAGCCACTCGTACTTACGCAATCATACATACACGCACGTATACTCATTGACCTACGCAAACACACATACACGCACGCTCATTCACTGGAGCTCACGCAAACATAAACATATGTGAACAATGTGGGATTGGGCATATATGCGCATCCATGTGTCGTTGTGCACATACGTACGCATTTGGTCGCTGTATTCCATGTTGGATTGTGTAGCGAATATTATTTGTTTGTTGTACTGTCAACATGCAGACCATTTTTCTATTTTGTTCAATGAATAATGTTTTCTCGCACGCATGTATATACGTATGATGGGATCTGTGTAAGACTATGGTAGGTAAAAATTGCTATTATTTTTTATTTTTTAAGGCTGTTTTGTTATTATTTTAAAGTCGGTTATTTGCTTGTTTTTGGCGATTGCGCATATGTAAATGGTTGAAATTCCATTATACTTATTGGTATTTATTTTGTATTAATTTTGCTGGGGGAGGGAGAAGTAAGTATAATTGTGGACTGATTCGGCAATGGTAATTGTGGTGCCGTAGTAATTGTAGACTAATACGGCAATGGTAATTGTGATGTGGTAGAAATGGTGTGGGGAGTGGGTGATGATAATAACAATTGTAGCAGCAAATAATTATTGTGGAGTGGTAGAAGTGATCTCTAGTAATATATATATATATATATATATATATAATATTATAAATTAACTTTTCGCTTATTTTTTTATTTTTCGATTTCTTTCTTTCTTTCTTTTTCGTTCATCCCCACTCACATCTCATTTCTTTTCATTGCCTTTCATTTTTTCCATATTTTCCTTCAAATTTATTCCATCATAATTTCTTTCTTTCTTTTCTTTCTGTTTTCGCTTTCTTTTTGATTTTCTTTCTTTCTTTTTTCTTTCTTTCTTTCTTTCTTTCTTTTTCATCCCCAACCTCTCTTCTCATTTCTTTTTTTTTAGCTTTCATTTTTTCCATATTTTCCTTGCAGTTGATTCCTTCCTTCTTTCTTTCTTTCTTTCTTTCTTTTTCATCTCATTTTTTTAGCATTCATTTTTTCCATATTTTCCTTCCAGTTGATTCCTTCATAATTTCTTTCTTTCTTTCTGTCTTTCTTTTTTTCTTTCTTTCTTTCTTTCTTTTGTGTTCATCTCCAACCTCTCTTATTATTTCTTTCTTTTGGCTTTCACTTTTTTGCCATATTTTCCTCCTAATTTATTCCATTATAATTTATTACTTTCTTTCACCAAGTGACTATTCCCCCCACCAACGGCCTCTCGTCACTCGCGGCTTGTCAGGTGACCTGTAAGACCCCTTACGACGCTAGTAAATTCGTACTGCAAAAAGAAAGATAATCACCTTCTGCATCTCTACACAGATATTCATCACTTTTCATTTGCAATCAGTAAAATACGCTAAAATAATTTAAGTGCAACGTGGTTCATACACAAAAGGTGACTCTTGAAATGACTTCTGTATAAGTCAACCAGTCAAGCGAAAAAACAATTAAAAACAGAAAGATTCATAATTTACATCATATAGAACAAACTTTGAGGTGAAAGCCTTCTATTTCTTGAAAATTAGTGTGCCTGTAACATTGATTGATAAAAGCAAAATGTGTGCCATTTTGTTATTCTTTGAAAAGTTTCATAATTTTTAAAAAAAATAAAATGATCGGATACGAATCAAGGACTACAAATGATAGAGTAATAGAAATTACATTTATTGTAAGGTAAAAGGATAACATTTTAGGATCTGCAACCATTTCGTCCCAAACATGAAGCAAAACTGTCAAGGGGAGCCCTAGAGTATATCCTCCAGATATCTGCTGTTCAGTTGAAGGCACTGTTGTTGAGAACGCGTGGATATTCCTCCTTCTCTGTGATTGGCTACCTTCAATGCAGCAATGATGCGAGTGTTGCTCTGGTAGATGTTGTCCTTGAGGAATCTCTGGAAGAAATCTAGATGGGGGTTAACGCTTTGCGGCTGATGAGACGCTCTCCAAACTTTTCAGGCAGCCATGTCATGATAACATTAAAAATATAGGAGGGGCACCATCCTGCTAGAACTACTGTTCCTCTTCATCAAGATCCTCACGTGCCTCAAGCCCACCCCATCTGAGAGGCTGCTGCTTTGTTTGAACAATTGTGAAACACCCTGTACTGTATATTTCCACTCCAGAACTTATTCAAAACAAGTAGAAAAGACTATTATTGTAGTATATTATCCTGTTAAATATTTCTTGTTTAAATCATGCCACACCTACGCAGCAGATATTTCTATGCCAGAATACTATTCTCGAAACAGGTGAAAAGTTATTGTCATGAACAAACATTAACTATAAAAAATCAACTTTATACGTATATTCCTTTTTTTTTCATTTCGAAGTAAGGTAGGCATTTTTTCTTAACGTAACGAAACATGGCCATTCAGTGGGGAAAGGCTAGGGTTAAAAATAACAGGAAAAAAGAATGAGACTAAAAAATGAAAGAAAATATAATGGAGTAGAAAGAAAAGCTAAAAACAAGGAGAAAAATCAATGAAGAAAGAATCAGAGGCAGATAGAATATTATTATGAAAGAGGAAAGAAAACATGAAAGAAAGACGAAGGAAAAACAAGAATGAAAAGGAAAAGAAAAACTAACGATAGTAAGGAAAGAAAGAAAGAGGGATAGAGAGGGGGAAGAACGAAAGATAGTGACAAAAGGAAGAATTATTATAAAGAGTGGCAAGAGAAACATTAGAAAAAAGAAAGAAGACGGGAAAAAGAAAGAATTCAGAAAAGAAAGAGAGAAGAAGAAAACAGAGAAGGAGAAAAATAGAATGTTTACAGAGGATGAGTGAATATTTATGAAGAAAAGAGAGATGTGCTAAATATAAAAGGAAGAAAAAGAAAAAAAGACGAATAAACAGAAGGAGTCAGAATGAAAAACAAAGAAGAAGAAGAATGAGATAATTATTACAAAGAATAAAGCAGTGTTAATGAAGGATACTGAGATATGAAAAAGAAAGAAGAAAAGAAAGAAAAAGAAAAACATTAAAAAAATAAAAAATAAAAGTAAGCACCAAAAATGGTGAAAATTCGGTGAATTATTAGAAAGTGTCGGTATTTCATTAATTAAAGTTTGTTCGAAAAGATATGCAATTACCGTTGTATGAAAAAGGGTAATTCAGTGACGTGACACGGCGTAAGAAAAAAAGAACGGAACCAAACCTTTGAGATTCAATTCGTTTATGAATATAACAGAAGAATGAGAAGATAGGAAGAAGGTTTACAATAATGGTCTTGCAAAAATGGTATTTTGCGAACTTATCTTGTCACAGAAAAGAAAAGCCCTGTTAATAGTTCTTTGAGATCTTGTGATTTCTTGTTGTTGTGGTGGTGGCAGCGATGTATCGGAGTCCGATCTTCCTGAGGATTGAGAAGATATTTCTCCACGGGGAGTAGGCGCTACAATCCTGGATTCCATAGATCTGCTAGTGAATTTTTTTCCCTGAGCAGTTTTTTGTACGTGCTACTCGTTAAAAGTCAACGTGGAAAAGAGAAAGAAAGATTCAAACATTGCGCGTAGATTGGGACCAAGCAGATTCAGTAAGGGGCCTTCTGATTTCAGCCAATCACAAAGAGCGTTATAACAACACCAAGGGTTCTGTTCAAAGAGAGAGGGGTACTCCGAAAGACTTGTAATAATTTCAATAAAAGTTTTGATTAATGGTTATGAAAGAGAGAGATGAGAAAGAAAGAATGAGTGAATGAAAAAATAAAAAAAAAAGCTAGAAAAAGAGGTAAAAAAACAAAGTCATAAAGAGTGAATAGAAAGACCGAAGGTGTAGATATGGAAGCGAAAGAATGTGAAAGGAAGAAAGAAAAGAAAGAGGGTAATGGAAATAAGAAAAAGGAGCGGCAAAACGAAGGAGTAGTTAAGAAAGAGAAAGAAAACGAAAACTAAGAAAAAGAGAGTAAAAAAGAATGAATGTGAAAGAAAGCCGGAAGAAAGAAAGAAAACAACAGAAAAGAAAGAGAGAAAAAGAACAAAAGAACAAAGGAGAATGAGAAAAGGGAGAATCATTAGAAAGTTATAATGACTGCTTATTTATGAGAGGGAGGGAGAGAGAGAGAGAGAGAGAGGGTGCAGTAAGAAAGCCGGTAATTCAGACAACAGAGAAAAGGGAATAGATATGGTGGCCAGGCTGTCTGTAAATTATAGTGAACAATATTTGAATACGTTTTTGATCCAGGCATATACATATTTTTTTCGTTTTGAATATTTTCACATTTGAAGCTATCATAATCATTGCTGGCAAACTTTCCATGATTAAGAATTTTATATTTTATAATATATTTAGAGGCTGTTCTGTTTCAAAATGTCAACTTCATGAAAAATTAGCTTAAAAATTAATATGAAAATTTGATAATTATCATCAAAATGAAGATTAAAATAATGTTTGCAAAATTAGTTCCTAACGTTTGACATCACTGAGATTTCTTCATACAGAAGAACCTATATTTGATATTGAAAAATGTTTATGAACTAATGATAAGGAAAATGGCAATAATAACCGTTTCCCTATAAAGAAACATTTGATATTCATTGACCGAGCAGCCAGTACTGATTTCAGCTGAAATTTATAAAATCTTTCTCTTCAAACAACTTTTCAGGAAAGCAGATTTCTCAAGTCTAAGGCTTTAACGCTCTCATTTTTTTATTTTTATTGATGAGGGTTTCCTTCCTAACTTTGTATTTAAAGTGGTGTGGAATGTCATCATATTCATTATGTTATTTTGTTTCTGTTCGAACTATCTGCTATCCATTTTAGTTGTTGCTGCTGTTGAAAGGAAGCTGCTTTTCAGATCAATGTTTAAAAAAATGTTATGAGAGAGTAAAGTCTAAGAGTCTTGGCAAAGATCAGCCTGCTTTGAACATTGTAGGTTGACGCTACAAAATCACAAAGATTTGTACTAAATACGAGAAACCATATTTTTTAAACATTGATCTGAAAAGCAGTTTTATACAACTGACAGTTTAGATATTTCTGAACGCGTTTGACGCCATACATGACATCCATATGAAAGTCTCTATTGGACGGGGTTTTAGGTTGATGTTTCGTTTTTTTAGCACTTTGCGGTGTTGAGTAAAACTTCCTCTAGTGCAGCCTATTCCATATTCAGTGTCCTTTTCTTCTATACTAAATTTGTTATAACTGATTCACACGCCGAAACATTTGAAGTGTTTCGTGTTTACTAATTTCACATCCTGAATTTTTTATGTAGGAGTCAGTGTATGTGCAATCAGTGCTTTCATTCCAAATACAAAACAGACTTTCTGTTTTGGAAAGGTTTACTTTTCCCATTTCTGTAAATACTTGGTAAACGATACTAATTTTCTGTTCAAGATCATTCCCATTCTAACTCTGAATACCTATGTCATCAGCAGAACCCCCCCCCCAAACCAGCATCAGTACATTAAATATTGGCGGAAAGAGATTTTTGATAATTAAAAAAAATAACCAAATTTGAACAGAGGGAAAATCTCTTATTTCCCTTAAAGCATACGTATCTCTACCTAATGAGTTCATCTATAAAATTTACTGACTTTTAGATTTGTATTTATAGCAGGTCATCCCATAAGTTCTGTCCGAATTTTGGATAAAGAAAACAACTGACCAAATGTTACATTTAATTACAGATTCAATCAAAAATGTATTTTCCCTGTTTATCTATGACTTCCTTCCATCTATTAACAAGCTTACTATCAGGTCATCCCATGAGTTCTGTCCGAATTTTGAATAAAGAAAACAACTGACCAAATGTTACATTTAATTACAGATTCAATCAACAATGTATTTTCCCTGATTATCTATGACTTCCTTCCATCTATTAACAAGCTTACTAATTCCATTACTGTAAAATTCTTTTGGCTTTGATTCGAAGAACTCACAAATGTCAGTTTTAACCTCTTCCTGTGTTACAAAAGCTGTTTCTTCCAAATGATTCTGTAAGCTACGAAACAAATGGTAGTCTGAAGAAGCAAGATCGGGAGAATAAGGTGGATGAGGAATTTTCTCCCAACCAAGTTCTTCGATCTTTTGTGGCGTGATTCTTGCTGTGTGGGGTCACGCATTGTCCTGATGAAACATCACCTCTTTTCAATTCACGAGAGCAGGTCTTTTTTACCTCAAAGCTTGGTTCAAACGCTCTAATTGCTGACAGTATATTTGAGCATTAATTGTTGCATTAGGTGGTAAGAATTCAAAGTGGATTATTCCTTGGCGATCCCACCAGATTGAAAGAAGAAACTTTTGCCCATGAAGTTTCCTTCTCAGCTGTGGATGGGGTCCTTCCCCTTTACCAAGCCATTGTCTATGACGTTTAACATTTCGATAAAAGATCCATTTTTCGTCGCCAGTCACAAGTCTATCCAAAAAAGGTGAAACAAGTTGGCGAGAATGGAGAGAAAAGCAGATGTCAACTCGGGATTTGAGGCTGCTTTCAGACAATTCATGAGGCACCCATTTTCCAAGTTTAGGAACTTTTCCAAGTTGTTGAAGATGACGATAAACAGTTGTATGGTTTGAACTGAGAACCACTGCCAATTCCTCAACTGATAAAGCAGGATTTTCTCCAAGGGCTGCTTCAAGAGGCTTTTCATCAAACTCAACTGGACGTCCGGTTTGATCTTCATCTTCAAGGGTGAAATCTCCACCTTTGAATATTGCAAACCATCTTCTGCAAGTTCTTTCATTCACACATTTCCCTCCATAAACTGAGTGAATGTTTCTAGCCGCTTTGTCTGCTGAGTTTCCTTTCTTGAACTTATAAAGCATTATATGCCTCAAATGATTCTTGGGTACTTCCATGTTAGCAGGGTTTTAATCAAACAAAATTTAATTTTATTGTTCTCTGAAATAAAATTTGATCAGTTTAAATGCATCTAAACATAAAAATTAGACATTATAAAATACTCTTTAAATTTCGTTCATTTTAACAAAAAGTTAAAATTCGGACAGAACTTATGGGTTGACCTGATATATTAATTCGCGTATGAATATGCAAATGGTGAAATGGTTATCACCTCGGAAGGTGAAAACGTCAAACTGAGTTCGAATTCCATGCGCGTTCGTAACATTCACACGAATTCATCTCTTCCCCACCAGTCGTGTGTTAAATAGTAGGACAGACTGTGTTCTTTAGTCAAAGTGGCCAAAGAATCTAAGAAAAGAATAATTCTGAATTCAAATCATGGCGAGGGTTTTTGGAAACAAATTTTTAAAATTTAAGCGTCTCAGGATTCCCTATCTATGCATAATTATAACCAACGTCTCTCCTCTCCTTCATACTCATATATAATTACATACGCAAAAGCATTACTTTAGTCCGACAGAAGTCCTAAAGGCCAAACGTGGCCTAATTTATTTTTCCACTTTGTTGTTAATTTTCATGACATTAGTCTAACATATAAAAAGTTTATAACTTCTTCTCCGATATATATATATATATATATATATATATATATATGTGTGTGTGTGTGTGTGTATGTATGTAAAAAGTGTATATAAATATAAATAAATATATATATGTATAATTATTTATATATTATATGCGCGGTACTTATTAGAAAGCGCTCAATATCAGATATATATTTGGTTGGATAGTGAGTTTTCAAAAATTTAAAAATAAATATAAATAATAATATTTTTACCTATCATAATTTTACACAAACCCCACCACACGTATATACATACATGGGAGGAAATATTATTCAGCGGAAAAATAAATAATATGACATGTATACATTCACGAGACATTCACGAGACATTTCCGCCACACTTCCAATCTTTAAATTTCAACATACAAATGCATATGTATAGACACAACACCACCCGTATACATACATATGTCATATCCGAAACTGCCCACATATGTTTATATATGTATGAGTCCCGACGAACGACCAAGTATGTATATGTGTCTGCATGCATCGATGTTTGCGTTAGTACGATGACATAAGCGACGAAGTTTCCCCCACCACCTCCACAATAACACCAATACACGCAATCTATATAAACCCAAATTTTTAAAAGAATGAATCAGTTTGTCTGACGATCGCTAAAGCGTGAAACCCCGGGTCACAAACTCACATCTATCCAACCAAATATATATATATATATATATATATATATATATATATATATATATAAATAGGTCAAGGTCTGGACCCTCCTCCCCAATACTAAATATGATTGAAAAAAATAATGAAATAAACCCTCTCTAAACTAAACCATGTCTTTCCCACCACTCCTCGCTACCCTCTCTGTTAAATTACATAAACTTGATACAACCTGTCAAAAGAATGAATTTTCATTTCATTCTTCATTTCATTTTTGGAAGTGTTATCTGATGATCCAGCGTCCCTTAAAAGGACTCTGGTGAAATAAATTATTATAATGGAACCTTAACGTGATCTGTTCT